ATAATAAAAGAATTTGATTGTTATAAATGTTTACTCACCCATATGATATTTAAAATTTTCACATATGAAAAAAAAAATGAAACATTTTTTTTTGTTTAACTGATGATGATCCGATTTTCCATTTTCTCACAAATTATACAAATTATTATTATTTTTTTTTTCTTATTACAAATTATTCTTAGAAATTATTCTTGGAATGATTTTTGCTATTAATAATATTTAAATATAATAATAGTATCCGATATCCATTCAGCCACACCTTTTAGTATCTAAATTTGGATATATATTATAATTATTATTAGTTTATTGATATGTCTAAAATCAATTATTAGTCACTGATGATATTAATATGTATTGATATTCATTATTATTCTGTATAACAAACAATCTGAAAAAAAATAATAATAATCTGAAAGAGAAAATCGACGGGTTCACAAAATTATTCAAAATTGGTAAATCTGATAATGCATAAAATTACAAACCCTTTTATTTTTAAAAATTTAAGAGTGATAAAAAAATTTTATCAAAAATTTTCTTTCAATAAATTAAATTTGATCATAATATTGGTGATAGTGAGGGAAGGGTCAGTGGTCTTTTGCCAAACATTTACTTCCCGAGACCTCTTGGCAAACCATATAATATTTTATTTTGGAAATCGAGTAAACCAATTAACTATGTAAAATATTATTGGATGATTTAATTCTATTTCTCTTTTCATTACTTTAGGTTTCTCTTTTTTTGTGAATGAACCCTTTTTTGATCTATTTCTTGGGTTCCACCATTTTTTTCTTCTCACATTCAATTATTTTATCGAGATGGTAACACAAATTCTATTATTTTTTTATATTTCTTTGTATGATCAAAAAAAAGAAAGCCTGCAAATGATTTGTGTTTATTTATTTATTTATTTTAATAATCATATAAATAAAAACATTAAATTTCTAAATCCCATAAGATTTTCCATATGCTTTTTTTTCTTCTTAATCATTTGTCACAATTTACATATCATCAATCAATCATTGAAATTGAGATAAACTGAATAAACTGAATAAAAGAATAAAAGAATAAAAATGGCGTGATTAATAACATTTTAATTTTTCAACTAAGTTATGACCACTCTTTGTACACAATACGAAATGTAGGAGGTGTGTGTACTACTGTACTTTTTTTTATTCTTTTACAAAATGTGAGAATTTTTTTTTTGTTGAGAGAATGTGATATTTACAATAATTGAAATATTATTCCTAATTTTACACGTGATCTATAATCTTTTTTTTTCAAACAGATAATAATAATTATTAATTAAATAATAATTAAAATAATAATTTCAATCTAGTCCTTCCTGTCCTTTTTAATTTAATTCCTGGTTTCCGGAAAATAATAATTGAACTAAACTTGTTCCTAGCTAGGTTAAGACATCTTTATTACATCAGCTAGCTCGTTTTTTAGCTAATAATTGTTTAATAATTGTTTTAAATGACTTTAATTTTAAAAAAAGTTATGCTAATTTTTTTAGTAACCTTTTTTTAAAAAAATTTCTTTTGATACCATAAACTTAAATTTCTAATGTATGACAAACCAAAATACATTTCATGGCATGGTTATACCAAAGAAATTGAATTAAAATAAATCTAATTACAATAAATTAAAAAAAATAAAATTAATAATTAAATTAAATTAAATGATTCACCTCTCCACAATTTGTAAAAAGGAACATTATAAGATAATTTATTCTTTAGCAAAGAAAGGAAATGCCGAAAAAATTGTCGTCCAATCTTTTTTTTTTTTTTTTTGATGGTAGATTTTGTACTTACCAGTAAATTTCTCTTAAATTTTCCATTTAAGATTTACCAACAGAAGATTTACCAAAAGATTTACCAACTCTTACGCTAATATAGTTAATTCTAAGGTTCAATTTAGAATGAATTGGCCAAAAGACGCATTCATTCATATCCAATAAATTTTATCAAATAAATAATAAATTTGTTAACAATTATAATAATTCGACATTTTTAATCGGAATGCACTATTATGATTCCTTTCATATGTTAACCTAAAGGAGATTTAATAGTGTTTGTTTCTCATTCCTCTTTTATTTTAAAACCATGTAAGGCATTGTAATTACAAATTACCATGTGTTGAAAATCAATAAAAATTTACTAACGTCATGTGTAAATAACAATTTGGTTGATTGGTTATTTTTTTTTTTTTTTAAAAAAAAAAAAAGTGATAATAATAATAATAATTTAATTAAAAACAATAATTAAAATATCCAGTCAATATTTCTTTTTAATTTAAATAAATAAATTTATATCTTATTTTTAAAAAGACAAAAGTGACATCATTTCATTACTTTGCCGGTTTTCTCTCTAATAAATAAATTCCGATTATATTGACCACATTAGGAGTTCCCCGTCTTGTTGAGGATCAGCTTCATAGTAACTATCAACTAAGCTAAATTGATTGCTCGTTAAAAAAGGTTCAAATCATATTCGGGTATAAAAAAAACTGCAATGTATTACTAAATTGTACATATTTAATTGTAATTATTTAATCAACATTTGTGTCTGGGAACTTTTACTGGGGGCAAACATTTTTTTTTGTAAAAGGTAAAAAAAGAAATAAATAAATAATAAACAATAGAAAAAAAGTAATTGTATAAAAAATCGTGAATAAAGATTGGATTTAACCTTTAAAACATTTTGACATTTAAGTTTTAAAAGTATCCGATAATTTTATAAGAATGACATAATAATAAATCTATCAATATGTGATTATACAAATATATAAATTACCGTATTTTACCTTTATCATGTTCTATTTATATGCTATATTATTTACTTTATTATATATGCTATAATTGCTATAATTGCTATAATTGATATATTCAAAATATATCCACCTTCATCACGATTATATTTTATATTCCGGAAAATTATTCCGGCACTAGGCTTTTATTAAAGCAAACGTAAATAGTATGTAATTACTTTAATATTAAAATGCCACTTATGTCATTATACAATTTATTCTGTGATGTGGGAATGTATAGCATAAATATATTCTAATTAATCTAATTTCGAATTTGGTGATAATAAATTTTAACCTTTAAATGTTTCTTCTTTGTGCACAATTATCGGTAATTTTTTTTTTTTCAAAAAAAAAAAAATATATAAGTATATTTTTTTTCTTATAATCTATAGATTACATTACATTACATACATCAAAATAAAAGTTCTGAAACCTTTAAGTTACACAATATATTAATAATTATTAATAATAACCAATTTATTATTAAGAATTTAAATAAGATCATCTGAATTGGATAAAATATCACGTATTATATTCAATTTTGTTTCTAAATATCAATTTCTAAATATTATCAATTTATAGGTATATTTATCTTAAAGGACTAAATGTTCTTCCGTATTTTACTTTAATCGGTTAGGAGTCAGGTGATCGTCATCTATTGATATCATTTAATTATTATCATTTAATAATTGATCCGGGATTGTGTTAAGAAAAGGGAACGAAAATCAAGTTATTCGAAAAGGAACAAATGAACTTTTGTTTTTAACAAAGTTAAAAAGAATGTATGCGTTTTAATAATTCATTGAATTACTTTTACTAGGAATTTTATCTAAACACAGTTTTTAACAGATCCAAGAAATCGACAAACCCAAATTTAGATTATACGAATATATTTATACATATTACATATATTGATACATGAAATGTATATTATATTTATATTATAATATATATTATGGTGATAATGTAGTCGTTGGTGATATTTCAATCATGAAGGTGATTGTGATTTAATTTAATCAAATTTCTGAATAATCCCAAATATAAAATATATATTTACAAATATAAAAAATACACAATAAAAAAATAAGTACAAAAAATTATATTTTTTTTATTCACATATAAAAAATACTAGCTTTTGATATTTGATATACTTTGATATATTTTTGATATTTGATATTTTTTGATATTGCGAAAGGTAAAAAAATATTCCTCCATGTAATGATGATGATGATACTTATCATTTTATTATCGCATATTCCCATTTCAAAGATGACAACCAAATTATATCACATATTTTTTATCAATTAATCTTTTACAACTCCTCTCAGTCCAGTCAGTCAGCCTTCTCTACATTTTTATTATTTCGTTTATATCTATGTATTTTATTTTTTTATTATTTATTTTATATATTATATTATTTTAATTTATCAATATTAATTAATATAATATTATTATAAAATATCATAAATTATCAGTGGTACGAAAATATTAAAATATTTATATTATCATTTTATATTTTATATTTATATAATGAAAAATTTAAAAACGAGAAGACGACATAAAAAATATACCTTCCCTTTATTAAAGTCAAATAAATTGTGAAAAATTCTCTTATTTTTATTATTATTATTTTTTTTAAAAAAAAAAAGCTCATCTTATTACCTGAGAAAATTGAAATTTTCGTTTTTTTTATTTTAAATTAATTATATACTTTAATATATTCCGAATATTTTGTCTGAAATTAAAGCGATCTACAAGTGGAATAAGTATTTAAAGTGTTGTATTTTATCCCAATTCGCTATCTCATTTTTTCCGTTCATCCCTAAAAAACTTTTTTTTAAAAAAAAAACTGTTAGCTTGGTTTTTTAATAATATTCTCTCAAAATAATTTACTTAAAGTATTTAAAGCCTTTTTTTTTAACAAATTCACAACCGTGAATGAAATAAAAGTTCTTACAAAATAATCTGGTGTAAATACAACAATACTTCTTTTTTTTTCAATTTCTTTATTGCTAGGTAATAATTTATTTCAATTTGGTTTCAATTTAATACAAAGCAATAATAACCTGATTAACAAATTTTTTAATTTTCTGTCTAAATTATATATCTTTCTTTACGATATTAACAAATAGCCATCAGAACCTTTGATTTAAAAAATATCGAAATTTTCGAATTTCAAAATTAATTCTAATATGTACCAAACTGCTGCTCCTCAATATCAAACTCAAACTCCTTTCGCCGTGTACGGAAATACTCACATTACCTACACCTCAAATCCTCAACACTCCAGAAATTCATCAAATTCATCGATATCAAGACATTCTCCCGATACTTCCTTTGCATTAGAACCAACTGGTTACACTACTCAATTGAGTTATCGATTTGATCCTTCAGTTAATACTACTGCTAACACAATGACCGGTCAACAAGACATTACAAAATCTTCTCCTGTTTCATCAGTATCATCTACATCTTCATCAGTTACTTTATCACCTGAAAATAGTTCAAACATTTTACCGCCATTATCTGAAGTATTTTCAACTTCTTCCGCACATAATAATAACGGACAACAACAATCATCAGGATCTCCAACTCAATCTCAAGTTGTTCCTCAACAGCAAGTACAATCCCAACCATCATCATCAAATAATTTCTTCCAATATTCTGATGTTAATGCCGCCGCAGCTGCTTCTTTCGCTGCCGCACAACAGGCCGCAGCTCAACAAGCTGTTGCCGAAGGAGCAAATTTTTCTAATTCCTCTATTGTTTCTCAAGGACAACAACAAATGTCTTCAAACATTCCAGTTGTCGACCCTCGTTCTCTTCCAAGAATTGGTTCAAATGTTTCAGAGATGCAGGCCCTTTCTAATGCCGCTAATAGTATGTCAATAGATCCAAATCGTAATCGTAATACATCTTCAATGCTTGCCATTAATACGGCAGGACTTAATGTAAGTGCAAATGAAACTCCAATGAGTGCAGGATCATCTACTGGATCGCCTATTGGTACTCTTCCTTATCACCATCCAGCTGCAAATGCTCATCATCAAGCATTGTTAAATAGTCATTTCATGGCCGCGGCACAATCCATGAGTAATGGAGGTGCTGGCTTAATAGCTCCAACACAACGTGGCTCAGTTAATAATAGAAGAAATGTTCGAACAGATGATGGTAATGAAGTGAATAACCATAATAATGGAGAACGTCCTCAGAAAGTTTATTCATTTGTCGCGTTACCTGGAATAAATACCAAGAAGCGACCTCGTCGTCGATATGATGAAATTGAACGACATTATGCCTGTAACTTTGTCGGATGTACGAAAAGTTATGGTACTCTCAATCATTTGAATGCTCATGTCCAGATGCAAAAACATGGACTAAAACGACACCCTTCTGGTAAGTTTTATATTATATTATTTATATTATTTTATATTTATATTATTTTATATATTTGATTTTTTTTATATGTTTTATTTTATTTATTTATTTATTTTTATTGATTTTATTTTATTGATGATTTTATTTGTTTATTTATTTAGAATTCAAAGAACTTCGAAAACAATGGAGACGACAAAAACGAGAAGAGGAAGAACGAAAAGCAGCTGATGCTGCAGCAGCAAAAAATGCATCGGCTGGAATGAATATATCATCTCTACCTTCAATATAAAAAAAAATAAAAAAAAAAAAAAAAAAAGAACAATTTCTAAATCATCATTTTTAATTTTTTTTTCTTTTCCAATCTTTTTTGAAATCTTTTTCTTAAAAAAAAACAACTTTTATATACCAATATGACAGGAAGGTTTATATAGTATATATTAGGAAACATTAGACGATTTAATTTTCTTTAAAAAAAAAAACATTATTTCTCTGTTTTTTATGAGTATGAATGTATGATAATATTGTAATTGGTTTTCATGTGGGGATGAGATTGAATTTGACAATTTCTTACAACGCCGCGTAATAAAGTTGTCGTTTGTTGGTTTATCCGCTATAAAAACCTTTCATCAAAAAGAAATATTTTTTTTAAAAAAAAAAACGATACTCCCAAAAAAATTTAATTTTAATAAAATTTAGTTCAAGAAATTTTCTATGAAATAGATTCTTTTTTATTAAAAAAAAAAAAATATATATACATATTAATTTTTATTGTCAAGGAAGTAGTTAGTTTTATGTTTATGAGTAAGATTTTTATAGTAAAGATTTAAAATCACAAATTTAATTATTAATCTAGAATTATTATCATCATATTTCCAATTTCTTATTTTTTTTATTAGGAAAACTTTTTGTAGATTTTTTTTTTTTCTTTTTTTCTTTGTAAAAATTCTTTTTTTTTAAAAAAAAATTTGGGATTTAGGTCTTTTTTTTTTTTTTATAATAATAAAAAAACTTGTCAAACTTGTCAAAAAATATAAAATAACATATATAAAATATTTATGCATAATAATAATTGTTGTATATATAATATTGTTATGTATTGTGCATTTTTCGTTTTTCGCGAATAACAATTGTTATAACGCTTTGATTGGTTCCAAAAAAAAATGCACATATACTAAAAAAACGAATAAGATAAAAAGTCAGATATAAACTGCGCCATCATTTTAAATATCTTATGACATCATAATAAGAATAACCATCACGTTATTAGTATTTTAAATTAACATATGATTATGATTAAATTGGATAAATTGGATAAATAATAAATAAATTAAAACCTTCACTATTATCTTTTACTGTTTACTATGATTATAAAATTGGCGTTTGGGATCTTGCATAATTATTCAAAAGGTATTGATCTCTATTTTTAGTATTCCTTATGATATTCCTTTTGGTATAATTTTGAAATAAGAGCAACAAGAGCGTCTTATTTATTATTATTATTATTATTATTATTATTATATTATTATTATTATTATTATTATTATTATTATTATTGAATTCTGACCTAATTATTACAGTATTGTTATTATTTAAGCTAAGCTTATTCTCTTATACAAATTTCTTTTTAGCAATTCATCTTGTTACGTAATATCACAATTCACATTTAATCAGTATAAATAATTAATACGAAGAAAAATATTTATTTACAAGTATATAGATGTTAATAAAGTATAATTGAAATATAAAACAATTGTGCAAGAAAAAAGTTATAAAATAATTTTGTTTACATAATAAGCATATTATCCAATTACAAATATTAATAGTCTTATCTCTTGTGACGTGTACTATTTCTAAAACTTTACCTATTTTCTAACCAATGACAGTTTTTACTATTCTTTCAAGTCAAAATTGAAATAAAGTTACAATCTTTAAGTAATCTGAGATTGTTTACTCAAATCGTTTAAATCATTCCTTTGGGCCTTGCTCACATAATGAATGATAGATTACACTTTTTCTTAATCGGTATAGTCGATCTAATATTTTGGGTGCAAATGATAGATCTACCGAATAAATGAATATTGATCCGTTTTTCAAATTCAAAATCCATTTTTTGTTGTTTTTTATTAATAAATAATTTACAACTACCACCTTGTCTTATAGGATCATAAAACTACTATTTTTTTGAAAATTGTTTAAAAAAGAAAAAACAAAGACAAGTGATGACTAACAATTTATTTACTTTCATCTAATTTAAAGTATACTGATTTTTCTTTTTCAGATTTTAATGCTATTAACAAATTAAATAAAAATGATACCGAAAATAATACTTATCTAAGCATCTTTGAGAAATTTATGCTTCTATTAGAGACTATTTACTCAATTTAGTATTCAAAAATTTTATTTGTTCTGATTACAAAAGAAAATTAAAATTATTGTTACAAGATTTTTTATAATCAACAATTAACAAGCAAAGGAGTGTGACCCCGATGTCACACCTGAGATATAATTATTATCTGCAGATACAAGAAAAATTGGAACATAATTGACATGAATGTATGAGAATTGGGCATTTATCCTTTATACTTGTTTGATAGTTTCTATATACAAGAATTAATATTTTCAATTCTCCAAGTGGAAATAATATAATTATATTATTTCCACTTAGTCTAGATTATTTTCACTTAACTATGATTGGTTAATTATAGAACTCAAGTCATTCGAGTGATGGGTTAATTATAAAACTCAAGTTATTTGAGTGATGAGTTGATCATAAAACTCAAGTCATTCAAGTGATGAATAAATCACAAAACTCAAGTCACTTGATTAATGATATATCCTTAGGTTTGACATGTAGATCATAAAACTCAAGTCATACTAAATGTGATATAAAGTATACCAATTTGACATTCCTGACTACTTGCAAATATAAGATATTCCCTAATTTAAGTTATGATATCCACTATACATCCCCTTCTGTATTAACTCCTAATTCTTTTAGAAACTTAAATTTAATAGTGATATTTGTATATTATAATCTATAGACTCATTAGTCTTATTATGGATTTAATGGGCCAAATGCAATTTATACATAATTTGTGAAGCTGGTAGTAAAAAATATATACTATCAAATATATTGCATACATGTTATTTGACTACTGTATATATGTTATCAAATATGTGTCATATAATTACTATTAAATATGCTATCAGGTATACTATCAGATATATTATATTTATACTTTCAAATATGTTATTATATCTAATTCAAGTAATGAAAAAAATAAATTAACTTTGAGTATATATGTAAGAAAACAAATGTATATCTTATAAATACTATTAAACTTGTTTATATACCTAAAAACATATCATTAAGTATATACTAAAAACATGTCATCAAAAATATAGTATTTTGCTATATTTTATATATAATAAATCTGTAGATTACTACACCTTGACTTATTCAAAATATACCCTAATTATATATCATAAAATAAATAGCTTTCTTTATTTTTTCTTATAATATATTACTGAAATTAGTTATCCTAAAAACAAGTCATCAAAAAAAATATATTCTTCCATTTTTTATATAATATATCTGAAGTTACCTATCCTAGAAATACATCCAGAAGCATATCATCAAATAAATAAGCTTTTTCTATAATTATTATAAAATATTATCAAAGTTATCTATCTTAAAAATATATCCAAAAGTATATTATCAAATAAGTAAGTTTTTCTTATAATTATTATAAAATATTATTAAAGTTATTTATTATATACATGTTCCAAAATTGATTTTGAATTTTTGAGATATTTCGACTTTTTGAGATTTATGCAGAATCTATTCTATATATGGAAATAAAAAAAGTATCCAGTTATATGTATCTTTAATCAAAAAATAAATTTGAGTAGTCAAAAAATTTTAAATTTTAAGTAAAATAATTTTGTCTTCTATAAAAAACTATTTTAACTTTTTTTCTCTAAAATTGCAATTTCGGAGTTCCAAAATAATTTTGCATGTAAGTATAATCTATTCAGAGATATATCTAAAAATATATTCAAAAATATATCCTAATTACATATCTAAAAATATATTTAAAAATATATCACTAAAATAGATAAATATTTTCTATTTTTCTTATAATATATTATTAAAGTTATTTACTGTAATATGCAACATAAAAGATTCACCCTAACAAAGTATCCCCTGTGAATTGTACTTAGGTACAACTCATAATTTGAATTTTCAATAAATATATTATATTCAAATATAATTTATAGTATATATCATCAGGAAATTTTTAAGGGCGGATAACTCCGTAAGTTTTCGGGATGTAAAATTTCCGTAAATTTTTGTATAAATTTCTGTAAATTTTCGAAATTTTTTAATGTAAAATTTTGCAAAAATTTTTGCAGAAATTTTCAAAATTTTTTTACATCAAAAGATTTCGTTAATTTTTACGGAATATTACAAAAAGCTTTTCGTAAATTTTCGATGAAAA